CTCTATGGAAAAATGGTAAAAGAATAGATTCATGCTTACAGTACACCATGCAGCTATTGCACATACATTATAAACTACATGCATAAGATCATAAATACATATGTATGCTAACTGGTTTGAGTCCATCTTCAGAGTATCCATCAATCGCTGGTTCTCTGTCTAACAGTGCAAATATCCTGTTAGCTGATTGCTTAGCTTTAGCGTAGTCAGGAGCAAAGGAAGAGGCCTGCCCTGCACCAAGAGCTCCAAAGATGACAGCAGTAAAGACGACAAAGATATTACTGAATGTACTGTGAGCAATATCACCTGTAGAGTGACATAAAAATCAGATTAAAATCAAGTCAATATCAATGTTAGAATCAGCGTTAACATGAATCAATTCAATACACATAGTGCTGGTCTTACCTGGTTGTCTTGTTACTTGGTAGGCTCCGAATCCAAAAGTGACTACGTACCCTAGATACAGCACACCCTGAGAGAAGCCATAAGCAGCTCCAAGCACTGGGGACTTTATCAGGGCTCGTCTGTCAGAGAGGAAGCATAAGTGGGGAGGGGTCGAGTAGGCGTGGCTTACTTATAAGGTCCTCTAATTTCGTTAGTGTAAGATTGAAAGAAATTCGATTGAATACCGAGTGAGGTGACTGTCCTAATGTTCACCAGTGACTCTATCACAATCTAAAAAAAATAATATTATCCAATTATGCCGTTTTCAAAATTAAAAAAAAGTTAAGTTACCACCAGTCCTTTATTCTTACCTTTCCAGCTACAGTACTGGAGTCAGTGCTGGATTTAATGGACTCAGCATTGGCTCTGAATTGCAGGAACCCAGCCAGCATGAAGACAGGTATGAATCCAGCCAGCACCAGGGTAAGCATCCAGGAGTAGACGAATGATATGATAAGAGAAAGTAACATGGCCACACTTATCTCTACAAGTGTACCTAATCTTGAACCAGTTGCCTAGGGAGAGAAAGAGAGAATACATAACCTTCTACTTTATAACAGATACTAGGATAGAATAGAGAACGAATTATTTATTATCTTCATCTGCTTAAAATTTTCATTTTTACAAATTCTGATCATATGCACTCACAAAATGACTATGGTATCAATAATGAATAGTATTACATTGTTATGTACATGTATATGTATCAAAGCTGGTTACTGAGCCAAAGAGCTATACATGTACTGTACATGTACATGTAAGTACCATGTAGTAGGTAATACCGTATAGCGCTTTATTTTGGCAATTTTGCTGTAAAATTGTAATTGGCGGTTTTTAATTTGGCAATTTTTGTGTACACGTGCATTACTGAGCATGCGCATTAATGATTGGTGGTTTTAATATTGGTGATTCTGCTTGCAAACCGCCAATCGCCAAACGAAACTCCGCCAAATTAAAGCGCTATACGGTATAGTGATAATGATGCTACATGTGAATACTATAGTATGATTCATTGCTTACTCCTTGAACTAGAGATGCGTCAGTTGATAGTTTTGTTGTCAGTGCTCCGGCTGAGTTTTCTTCTTTATCAAACCAGGACATGTCCTGTCGGAGGAAAGTTCGGAAAGACCAGGTCCTTAGCCGAGCGGTGAGGTTCTCACCGGCAATACCCAAACAAAGAGACTAGAGGAAAGAAAAAATATAATAAAAGTAACTACATGTAAATGTATAAATGCATTGTTATTAGGATGCTAAATTACTAGTAATTTAAAAAAATAATAGCACAAAAGAATCACAAATAGTTTTTAGTCTTACTCTTATAAATGCTCCGAGTCCAACAACCACTCCAATTCCAAGGAATAGTCCCGCCCATGGGTGGAGACCTGACAGTATCTCGGAAGGAGGGCGGGCAAAAATGTCCAATATTTCACCAAAAATGAGAGCAAAGACCGGGTATATGAATCCAAGGATTACTGAGCCTAGAAGACCAAGAGCGATGAGCCACCATTCTTTGGAATTAGCTTTAATAATGCGTAGCAAGGATACTTCTGGTATGACGCCATCATCTTCTTCTTTCTATAAGAGAGTGGGTAAGGGGGAGAGAGAGAGACAAAATTTTAAATAAAGAGAAAGAGAAATGAACTGAATAAACCCAATTTGAATTGGTCATTGCTCATTTATAGCAGGCCATGACTCATGAACATTCTAATAATTAGATATTTAAAGTTCTTTTGTTTTAAGTTTAGAAAATTTTTGAAATCCGGACAGAAGTCAGATTAACAAAATTACTAATCAATACTACTTGTATAAGATTATTACTATACCTACAGCCAAACATACAAAAAAGCAACAATAAGTATCAGTATACATGTAAATGCAGCAGCAAATAGTTTTAAAAGTCTCCAACTCCAATAACTTTTTTCTTTTGGTGTAGCATATAATCCGTAGAGTTTGTCCAAATCAGTACCTTTCACCATGTCACCAGATAATGATTGTGCAGATGCACCAGAAGCAAGAGCAGCAGCACCCAAAGCAAGAGGCACAGCCATACGTCCCACAAAAATGCTAGCAATGACACCAGTTACTACACCTGCTCCTATTCCTACAGCTGCACTACCAGTAGCTACATCTTGTGCCTTTTCAAAGTTTTTATAAGCTCCGATGTCTTTAGCAACCTTCTCACAATAATCTTGGCAATTGTTTAAAGAGGTGTGATAGTTACCCATTCGTGTGAGTCTATCGTGTGCCTTTTTAACTATGTCGAGAGCTGTCAGTGGTTCTGTAGTACCCATCAGTAGTGCTTTGTGATTCTTGTACCTAGGATCAATTGCAAATGTGTGGAGCGAGACTCTGTTTAAGTGAAACTTGGTTTCACGACTATCAGACACTTTGAGGTGAATCAGAAATCCTTCATCATAGCCATGCAAAAGAAACAGCAATGAGTAATGGCCAAAGAGACTTTTGTACACTAAGTATACATCCCACTTGATCTTTTCTCTCAATGATGGAAACTTGACAAAATCCTCCCAGACAGAGCTGGTGTATTGATGTAATTCTTCATCAGATATTCCTTCAAAAGCTTGAGCAAAGTAAAGAGAAGCAAGAGACATGTTTCTTTTCAGAGACCAGAGATGAGCGTGAGCTGTGTTACTATTATTAGATTTCCTGTTATAGTCTATATTTAGCCTTGCTATATAGTTCCCATTACAGGAATTTTTTGTGTTTGCACTTTGCAGTAATAATTAAAGTACAGTAAATGATAGCCGTGATTGATTACTGTAACAAATTACTTCAGATATGAATTAAAAGGCCATCATGCATAACACAACTAGCAAACAAATAAAATCTTGCCAAGTAAAAACCAGCTTTCTATTTTTAGCAAAAGGTTGTTTTTACCAGTTTTTGAGCAACTTTAAAAGTTCATAAAAATTCATGAAATCAGCTCAAACTACATGTAATAAAAATTAACAATTCTCTCCTAATGAAATGCCATGTGGCATGTACTGTACTGTAGTCCATGACCATTGCCCAAATTTTGAAGCAACTTAATAAGCTTCACAGAGGCATATACATGTATCCTACTACTGACAAATAATTTTACTATTACAAATTTACAATATATTTCTTAATTGTATGTACCACTACTACCTACAGTAGTACACGTATCATGTAATCAATATACATGTACTTCCTTAACTATTGTCAAAAGTGAATGATTATAATTATCCACTCTTGCTTATTGTGGATGGCTTAATAATGAAACTAAAATTATGTGGATTAAAGGCATAAACATACTTTTGATTAGTTCATAAAATCCACAAAATTTATATAAAAAAAACAAAATAACCAGTTGTACAGTATAACCATACCTCATCAGAATTGAAGACAAAAGGAATAGGAATGATAGAATTGGCCACTGGTTTAGACCTGGTAGTAATGACCCCAACAGACGGCCTTCTCTCTTTTTCAATATTTTCAAAAATATCAGAACCATCAACATTGCTAGAATGTGAAATTCCATGAACACTGTGACGCTTTCGTCGTCTGGTTTGAACAATACTATGAGATCTCCCACGGAAAGAAGTACTTCTCCTTTTAACGGGAGAGGAAGATTTAGAGGAAGAGGAGTCAGCGTCATCAGTGTGGTGGAGTAATGGCTGCTTGGAGGCTGGGCCTAAACCAAGGGACTCACCA